GGTTTTATTATCCATAATTGAGTTTATTTCCTCTTGGATAACTTCTTTCCAAAAGGCAGAATCTTGAGATTTTATTGCCTCTTCAAATGTTTATGGATCATTTTCTAGGTTATAGCAAATTGCTCCATAACGATTTATGGAATCATTATTTCCTTCTACAAGGAACATAAAGAAGTCTGATCCATAGTTTTTCGCTTTTCGGATTCTTTTACTTCTTCGAAATTCTGAACATTCCAACATATCATTATTAGATACATTATTTTCTAGACTTTGAACATCATAATGAACATTGTCCTTGGGATATTAAATTGAGGTAAATATACTCTTTTGAAACATTGCATCTCTTGACTCAATCACGGTATTAATAGGATATGAGTCATTGGATTCAATAACCATGAATTTATATGCTTTGCTATTTTCAGCATAGCCCAGAAATATACATTCAATTTCTCTTTCTCCCAATTTCTTTCTTTTTGGTTCAGGCACCTTTACAATTGCTCTACAACCCTAAACTTTTAAATAGTTTAGATTGAGTTTTCTTTTCTTCCAGAGTTCATATGAGGTTATCTTGTTCTTTTTATTAGGAATTCTATTCAATATATAACATGCAGTTAGCATGGGTTCACCTCAATATCCTTTTAGATAAACCAGAATAGGATAACATGGCATTTACCATTTCTTCCAGCACCCTATTTTTCCTTTCTGCTATTCCATTTTGTTGTGGGGAATATGGTGCAGTTATTTAATGTATAATACCAATGGACTCAAAATAATTAAGATGATAGAACTCTCCCCCTCTATCACTCCGAAAACATTTAATGAAATTTTCATGTTGAAGTTCTACTTGTGTTTTAAAAATTTTAAATTTTTCTAAGACTTCATCCTTAGAGTGCATTAAATAAACATAACAAAATCTAGTGCAATCATCCATGAAAGTGAAAAAATACTTTTTACCACCAATTGTGGGTCAACCATGTAAATCGCATACATCAGAATGAATTAAATCTAACACTTTAAAACTTCTTTCAACTGTTTTAAAAGGTTGTCTAGTGATTTTAGTTAACATGCAAGTAGTACATGAATTTGAATTTTTGTCAATAATTGGAATTAAATTTGATTTCATCATATCATTTAATTTTCTAAAATTAACATGTCCTAGTCGCATATGCCATAAATCATAAGAATCAACAATATAAGCAGAAATCACATCATCATTATTATTGTTATTATTATTAATAACATTACACATGAACATATTCTCAGAAAGATAACCCTTCCCTACAAACATACCCCCTTTGGAGAGAATAAATTTATCTCCCTCAAATACAGATTTGAAACCATATTTATTAAGTAAAGGTAAAGATATCTAGTTTTTTCTAACTTCAGGTACATAAAGTACATCTTTCAGAGTAAGTAATTTTTCAGATGTGAATTCAATCTCTACTGATCATTTTTCTTTAACTTGAACCGTATAAGCATTTCCCATGTATAAAACACTACCATTTTCTTCATTGATGGTCTTGAATAATTTTTTATTTTTGCACACATGACGGGTAGCACCAGAGTCTATCCACCAAGAATCAACATCTTCTATCATGTTGATTTCAGAAATGACAGCAACAAGATTGTCTGTTGTTGCACTTGAATTCTTGTTTTTATTCTCTCTTTTTAAGAACATGCACTCATTTTTAAAGTATCCTGGTTTTCCACAATGATAGCAATTTCCTTTCTTTTTCTTTCTATTGTTATTATTGCTATTAACATTATGATTTTCATAAGATTTTTCAAAATCTCGCTTTTTTTTCTTGAAAGTTTTACTTGAATTTCCTTCCTCCATTACATGCACCTTCTCATGAGTAACTTGATTTTTAGTATCATCTTGTTTACGATACTCTTCTTCTAAACGAAGGTGATTACCCAGTTGCTCAAGAGATATGTCTCTTTCTTATGTTTCAAAGATTTTTTAAAATCTTTCCATGATGGAGGAAGTTTATCAATTATGGAAGATACAATGATTGTTTCATCCATATTCATATCATGTTGTTTGTAATGATTGAGAATACGTTTGATTTCATACATTTGTTCCATTAGGGTCTGTTTGGTTGAGGGGTTTTGGAGGGGAGGGAATATTTTAAAAATAGACGTGTTTGGTTCAATTTTTTATAAGGGGAGGGGAGGGGATTGGAGGTAATCAGAATCTCTCCTAGAGCAATTTTTCGTTCCCCCGAATTGGGGGTTTTCGGAGGGGAGAGAGAGGAGTTATGATAACATGTATTTTTATTATATTGACAAAATTATCTTCACTTTTATTTAATAAATTTTTTAATTGTCTTTATTAATATTATACCTTAATTGTTGTCACCTTATTATAATTCCTTCATTTGTTGAATGACAACTCCATTATTTTTATTATTATGATTCAACTTTTTTTTCATGTATTTTATTCTATTTATTTTTATTTAATATTTTGCTTGTAATAACTTAATTATTTTATAATTTATTGTATTATATTACATATCAATATATAATTGTAGTATGAGTTATATATTATGTAGAATTTAATCTTATAAATATGTTATAGGATTAAATGGATCATCAAGATGAGAAAATGTTTCATATGATCATTGATCATATAATTTGATATAATTTGATTTTATGACGTTTATCAATATTTTATTTTCATTTAAAGATATTTTAGAGTATTTTAAATGTTAAATATTTTGTGTTTAATTATCTACGTTTTTTATGAATACTTTTTTTAAAAAAAAAATTATTTAGCATGATTGTTATAATATTTTAAGGGTAAAAAAGTAAATTAGTTTTAAAACCCCTCCCCTCCCCCTAGGAACCAAACATATATTTGAATAAAACATCTCCCTCCCCTCCCCCTCTTATGAACCAAACATATGTTTAATTAAAATACATCCCCTCACCTCCCATCCCCTCACCTCCCCTTTATTAAAATCCCTCCCCTCCCCTCCCTTCCGTTGAACCAAACGGACCCTTACAGACCTTTCGTCTAAACTTCTTACTTGTAGCAACTTCTTGCATGTATCTTGATTCCAATTTCTCCCATAATTCTTTTGCGGAGTTACCGCTCTGATAAATGTCGAACAACGAATAGCACATACCATTGAGAATGTGTGTCATGCATATATAATCATCATTGTCCCACTTTTGTCTCTCTCTAGTTTCAACAATTATTCATCTTCTTTTTCTTCCGGTTTTGGAATGTTAAGGACATGCACCACTTTCAATGTTGTGAGAAAGAATTTTATTTTTTTCTGCCAACGAATAAAATTCCCTCCATCAAACTTCTCTAATTTCACAAAGTCAGAAGTCATCTCTTTTAGTGAAGCAGCCATTGAATGAGATAAGTTGTTCCTTAACAATGTTATATATATATATATAGTCTTTGGGACTGCTGCAAAACTAAGAATTAATGGAGATAAAAATAGAGAAATAAATTTTTTTAATAAACTTACAAAGCGTATGTTTCCACACTAAGCTTAAGGAACAATTCGCCCCACCAATCTTGGTATGTTGGATGCAAACGGGTTTACCAGCAAATTTCCTGCAGGATATTTTAGAATCCTTAAAGAGAATTGCACAGTCTCTCTAAGCGTATCTTTGATAGTATTTTACAGAAGAATATTTATTTGTCTTGCTCTCATACATTAAAGAAGAGAAAGATAATTTAGAGTGAGAAAATAATTTGAGACAAATTGTATTTTTTGTGTGTTTCATCGTGTCAAAAAACATTCCATTTATAATTATGCTACATTATGTTTGGGAACAGATGTATCTCTTAAAATATTGTATTGCACCGTTTTTGGTTACACCGAACAGTAACAACGCTTTGCTCAAAACTATCAATATAGTGTTTATAAGTTGCAACTGTTCCTAATTAAATGTTAACCAATGACATGGCATACTATACCAATAATATTCAACACGTAGCATTCAAATTGGAGATGAAAAAATCCAAATATAATATTTATATCATTAAGTTGCAACTGTTACACCGAACAGTAACAACGCTTTGCTCAAAACTATCAATATAGTGTTTATAAGTTGCAATTGTTCCTAATTAAATGTTAACCAATGACATGGCATACTATACCAATAATATTCAACACGTAGTATTCAAATTGGAGATGAAAAAATCCAAATATAATATTTATATCATTAATTCAAATAATACAAAGATTCTATTTAATATTATTTTGGAAATTCTCTTACACTTCCGGATTTCTGTTTCCAACACTATGTATAGGAGTTCGGAATGGGTTTAGCAAGGAAAATCAATTTAAGGTTGCACTACAAGGCACCACCTGAATTTTGCCACTGAAAGCAAAAATGTAGTTGAATTTATTTTCAGATGGTTTTAAGCTAATTCACACAGACACATAAATTGTAAAAGATGAGAATATACATTCATGCATGGTCATTTGTGTGATGTAAACAAAATTAGTGTCTTTATGCTGAATCATATTCATATGACGTAAAAGTCGTTTGGAAAAATATTGAAATAAAAGAAACAGAGTAAGATTGGTGATTCATTACAGTATTTAATAAAGACAACTCAAGCCTATTTTACACTGGCCTCAGTTAAATGGGTCGCCAAATGCATAGCCCATACAGTATAGGTTACATTTTACACTGTTGTGAGCTCCTTAATTACATATACTTCAATCAATTTGGTCTAATAAACAAAAAGTCCAAGCTGTTAGTCTTAATGTGCTTTCTATCAGTATCAGATATAGACTTAAGGAGATATTCTCCCCAGCTATGTAATTTTACAGATAAGGGCGCGCTATTCTCTGTTGCAAGACATTATCCAGACTAATTATGCACGTCCCATTAGTTAAAAGAGATACATGAAGAAAATGTTTTAAAAAAAAGCTATGTTTCACATTATAATACCTTTCTGGGATGCCGCTTTATATCTGACAGCAGCTATAGTCTATCAAATTTGCAGCGCATCTATATTTTCAGAATTAATAATAATTGCCTTCAGTCCAACTAACTCCAGGCATTTTCTTCGGACCTCCTGTTATTTTATCCCTCAACTTCTTAGCATCATCCCATCTCCCATCTCCAGCATATATGTTCGAAAGCATAACCTTGTAAACATTATCAGTAGGATTACTTTTAAAAATCTGATGGGCTATAGTTTCTGCTAACTCAGAATTTCCATAAGAATCACAGCATGATAATAAGGCTCCCAGAATGGCCTTGTCTACTGGTTCAGGTAAGGACTGAGTGAGATAATGGGCCTCTTCTAACTCCCCAGCACTGCCAAGAAGCTTCACCATGTAAACATAATGCTCAGGTCTAGCTTTGATGTTGAATTCGTCTTTCATTCTCTGGAAAATCTCTCGACCGTCTTTTACCAGGCCAGCGTGACAACAAGCACAAAGGAGAGCAGAGAATGTTGCTTCATCGGGTACCAATCCTTTCTCTAGTATCTCATTAAACATCAAAAAAGCCTTGGACGCACATCCATGCAAGCCAAGAGCTAAAACTATTGAATTATAAGAAATTATATTCCGTTCAGGCATCATCTTGAATACACGAGTTCCCAAGTTCAGGAAACCACACTTTGAATACATGTCTATGAGAGCTGAGGAAACCTTGACATCTGATTCCAATCCATGCCGAAGAACGTAACCATGTACCTCACATCCCGGTACTACATTCGCTGTATGAGCTATAGAAGCCAACACTGTAGCAATCAAAACAGAATCCAGTTTCTTGCATTCCATGTTTAATTTCTTGAAATAGAGCAATGCTTTTTGATACTCCCCACACTGAGAATACCCAGATATTAGAGAAGACCATGTAACCAAATCAGGATTGGAAATACTGCAAAAGACTCTATAAGCTGAGTCCATGCACTTACATCTCAAGTACATACTCACCAGTAAACTACCTACATGAGAATCAGAATCAAGCCCACTCTTTTGACTTAAACCATGTAATCCTTGGCCAATGCTGAGCAAGCTAGAATCTGCAATACCCACAAGTAATCCAGCAAATGTATACCCATCAGGCTTCTTCCCAGAAAGTCTCATCGAGCTAAACATTTGAATCCCTATGTCCCACATACCAGAACACACATAAGCAGAAATCAACGAGTTCCACAAAACTAAATCCGGCTCATCAATCCCATCAAACACTCTACACATTTGATGAACAAGACCAAGTTTTGAATAAGCACTCACAAGTGCACTGCAACAAATAGGGTCCAGTCCCAACCCTGCAGACACAGCACTTCCATGAACAAGTCTTAACACACCAAAATCAAAATTGTCAGAGCATGCACGTATAACACAAGCATAAGTGTAATTGTCAGGCCTTATATCAGCCTCAAGCATGGTTCTAAATAGAGAGATTGCATTGGTAAATCTTCGAGTCTTGGCAAAGGCTCGAATCATGGAATTCCAGAGGTAGACACTTCGGGTGGAAGTTTTGTCGAACACGTGATAGGCATAGTTAATGTGATTGTTAAATGCATAAAGTCTAATGATTTGAGTAGCATAAAAAGGGTCTTGTGAGAGATGCGTTTTCAAAAGACAAGCATGTAACTGCTTCACACGAAATAGAGACTTGCAAAGGTTGGTTAGTTCAGAATGGAGCCACGGAAACTGAGTTAACATTAATTAAGATAACATGTAAGAAAGTAAAATTGGTGTGTGATAGTGATAACAAGAATTACAACATAGGATACTAGTATGATATAACAGCGTGCTTCTGAAACAACAAGAATAGGTGTATTTGCTGCTTTCGAAGTTATCACTCACCAGTTCTACCAAAAACGTCGTTTGGTTATATGGAATGGAGGGAAAGAAACGCGCGAGAGAGAGAACTGTTGAAATATAAACAAGATTAGTCATTTTGGATAATTTAAAACGAAACTTAGCTTAATGAAACGATTCAAAGGAAATTCCTCAAGAGATATTTTATCAAATGAAAGGGTTAATTACAAATTAGTTTAGATTATTTCTTTTTTCACCCTATTCTTGCGCACTATGTGAATTTTCAGATTTCCCATTTGATTTTGGAGATATATCTTTGAATGCATCAAAACTCAATTGAACGTTAAAATATTTTGGGATATATCTCTGAACGCACCAAAACTTCAGTGAACATTGAAATATTCTAGAGATATATCTCCTGAGCATTTTGGAGGTTATTAATGCGTCATACTCTTCTCCTCCCACACTTTTCATTTTCATTCACAAACTCTTCCACTCTCTCAATCTCAAATTTCTCCAACTCCACCAAACCAGATTTCATCAATAGGAGGCTTCAAGTAAACATCAAGCATCATCCATTTCATCATTCAACATCTTCCAAATCATAAATTTCGGGTAAGTTTTTTTGAGTTTTCCATAAATATTCGAGTTTTGTTGTAAACGAATTAGAATCAATTGTTAGGTGTATAAATGTTTAGAAATCAAATGAAACATAGTTTAGGGTAAGTGTATGTCTTGTTTGTTAGCTCAAATGGACGATCAGGATTGTATTTTTCACATTCTGAAAAGCAGAGGGCGTCATTGTCACGACCTCTGAATTCCAGAAATTTTCGAAGATACGTCTCCAAAAAAGTTCAACGTTTTATATACTTTAGGAAATTCCGGAGATACATCTCCGGAATGTTTCCGTAGATATATCTCCGAAATTTCCTCAGTCTATTTTTTTTTATTTTCTTGTTTGTGTTGTTCTTTTGCATAAACTAATTATATGGCTAATTTTACCTTATAGGCATAATGGCTGACAGAGTCGGCATACTGAGACTTGGACGGGTTTCCCAGCACACATCCATTCGGCAGAAACGAAGTCAACAGGTTTCAGAGGATGCAGGTACATCTGTTCAGATAGAGGAGTCGACTCCTGGGCGCAGTCTACTCCTAGGGCTCAGTTTACTCTTGGGGCTCGGCCTTTTCCTCAGATCACTTCATCTACATCTCAAGAAACTCCATCTTCATCTCAGCCACTCCATCTTCATCTCAGGTCACTTCACCTTCTTCTTCTTCTTCCCGTAAGAGATGGAATGCACTAGCTGACGCGTCACTTTCTGCATCGTCCCGCAGGTGTCGGGATTGTCGCATCGCTGCGAAGAGGGACCGGCAAGGACAGAAGAGTCGCCACCGTTCGTTATTTATCCCAAAGAGAGGGAAAGGAAACGATCAGAGAAAACCTACGGAAAAGGGAGAAGACAGGTCATCGCAACCAAATCTCGGGTTCGGGAGTCGATTACGCAAGGGGAAGGTATTAGCACCCCTCACGTCCGTCGTACTCGACGGGATCCACACTTGTTGTCTAGTCTATGGGTGAAATACAAACTATCTACGGCTGCTATTGCTAAATGGAAAGGACTGACTTTATAGGACATCGCCGCCCTATGCCTACGTATTTCCTTGTGCAATGGGAAAGTCATAGTCAACGTAGTTCGGAAAGTTACGGGGGAGGTTGCTCGCCAAGACATCGCGTCTTGTGCCTACGTATTCTCATCTGGCATGAGAAATCAGAGCAAAACGTAGTTCAGGCTGACACGACCACAAGTTGGTTCAAGTGTTTTAAACCGAGTAGGGTTAAACCTTCATTCTAGCAGTTAGGTGTATTGATGCTCGACCATCGGAGACTTAGGCGTTACCTGTTTGCGGTAGAACCAAGAGTTAACAACACTCTCTTTATGAAAATGATTTTCCATTAATCCCGAAGGATAAAAAGGTTTGATTTTCCATTAATCCACTTAGAAGCTTCCGAAGTCAAAGCAAATCTCACTACCAAGCAAGGAATCGGAGGTCTACCTTCTGAATTTTTGATAGGGAAAGTTGCATTTCTAGCCAAGGAGAACAGTTTAGATGCTTTTTAAGAAATCATTTGCTTATCTATGGTTTGGTTCTATTCCCTGAAGTGGAAGGTTTTGTTGACATCAACACTATCCAAATCCTTATGAATGGTAACCCCGTGCCTACTCTACTTGGAGATGACTACCATTCTATTCACTATAGGACTCTTAAAGGAAATGAGACCATCATGTATTGTGCTTCTCTGTTGTATAGGTGGTTTGTTGCACACTTGCCGAGGACAGATCTTTTCAGAGAAAATCCATGGATTAATGTGGTCTCAGAGACTCATGGCTTTGACTCAAACTAGTGTACATTGGTATGACCTAGCTTATGACAAGGGAGTGATCATTGATAGTTTTGGTTTGTTTCCCAACGTACCTCTTCTCAGTATACGAGGGGGAATCAACTACAACCCTGTTCTTGCGAGACGTCAGTTTGGGTTTCCTATGAAGGAAAAGCCTAGAAATATCCTGTTGTCGGGTTTCTTCTATCTCAATGCAGAATCTAGTATGGGGACTAGAGACAGTGTTGTTGATCCTTGAAAGATTATTCACAAGAATACCAAGGCTGATTTGGGAAGGAAGAATTGTGTAGCATTCGAGCCTTTCGCACAGTGGGTCCATTCTCGACCCCCGTGATCTCAAAATGCCTTACCTTCCAGAGAAACCTTTGCAGACTGTTGCTACTTCTTCCTCTGTCATCCTTGTTGAGCATATGGAGGAATACCAAGAGATGTTGGCGAGGATGAAACTTAAACGAGATACTTGGGAGGGCAAGTACCACGTCATTCATTTAGAACAGTTGGAGATGAAGAAACAGTTAAGAGAGAAGGATGATTTGATTGAGTTGCTTGAGAGGAGGGTTGTGGACAGATACGTGGCACAAGAGAATTTATTTTTCTCTAGTGTCCAACCAGTGCTTAGTACTCATGAGTATTTTGACATCTCACCTACATCTGGTGCTTAAAAGGGAATTATCGACAAGCTAGTATTGGAGAATGCTGAGTTGAAGAGACAAAAAAAGACGCGTGGATAAGACCTTTCTAGCAAGAATCTTTTGAGACCCTAGGGTCTAGTCTTTTCCTCTTGTATTATTTTGAATTTCTTGTTTTGTACTTTGAAAGTTGTAACTTTTTCCACTATTAATGAAGTAATGTTTTTTTACTCCAAAAGTGTTTCTTTTGCAAATCTATCTTCTGAGTTTCTTTAAAAACAATTGCATCTTGCATTGCATCTCATTGTTTCTTGCTAACATTCAAGGAGCCCAGTCTCTTATTTTGCAGACATTGTAATGGACTCAAGAAAGAGAACAACTCTAAGATACACATTCAAAAGCCCGAGATCAGAAAATCTAAGAGTACTAGGAGGCCTAGTAGAAGATCCTTTGCCATTTGCCAACAAGTATGGAAGCATTATGCCATTGTTAAAGCTCCAGGTAGATGAAGAAATGTTGATGGCGCTCGTACAGTTCTACGACCCCATCTGTAACAGCCCAATTTTTCAATAAGTGATTAATTGTGCTAATTAATTGGTTTATGTGATTTATCTGATTTAAATAAATTATTGGATTTATTTAAATGAGTTAATGGATTTAATTAATTTATTCTACTTGGTAGAATAATGTGGATTTATTAGATATTCTCTAATTAATGATAAGATGAGATATTTTGTGAGAAATGAATAGATAGATATTTTTGAGAGAAGAATTATGATGGAAAGAAAATAGAAGGATATATAAGGGAAATTGGAGAGAAAAGAAAAGAGATAAAAACATAAGAGAAAGAAAGAAAGAAAGAAAAGGAGAGAAAAAATAGAGAAAGAGGAGAAAAGAGAAGAGAAGAGGGAAACTTGGAGAAATCATCAAGAATCAACTTCAAGCTTCAATCCAATCAAGGTAAGGGTGAGAAACATTATTATTTGATCAATGTGTATGATTATGTATGAGTTGTGTTGGATTTGTTGGTAGTTTTCTCTATTTTCTATTTCTAGGGCATAAATGGTTTAATCGGTAGAATCGAGTTTTGAACGGTTAGAATTCAAAATAAATTGCGTAGTTTAGTCGGGTAATGTTTAGCCGTGATTATTGGATTTCGTTTGATTGAATTTGGTTGAGTTTGTGAGTTTTGACATTTTTGGATAATTGAGGGTTTGAGATTTGAGTGAAAATCGGACGTCATAGAAATTGTGTTTAATGATTCTAATTCACTGCTATATGTTAGGTGAGTATGAGTATGTGTTTGTTTCGAAAAAAAGAATTGAATCGGTTGGATTTTCGGGCGAAAATGCAAAATCCTGTAGCCGTGTTTAGGCAAAATTCTGGTTTTTCGGAAAACTTCAAAAATTCATAACTCTTGAACCGTAAGTCGGTTTTGACCCCCGTTCGAAGCGCTGGTAAGTTAACGAGATTATCTTTCTAGAAAAAATGGCTTTGAGGCCTTTACCTAGTTCAATTATAGCAGAAAATTGAAAACATATTGTTGTGTTGATTTTTACCGTCGCGAATGTGTGTGATTGATGTGTTATTGTGCAGAATACTTTTGTTATATAACGTATAGCTTGTGCATGTTGTGATATGATATGCTGTGGGTAGCCGTATGGCGTGAATCCTAGATGGTGGAATCGATTATGAAATATAGTCTTTTGACAAATATATGCATATTGTTTGTATGTGAAAAATGCATGAGAACATATTGTGAATATGTGTGCATTGCTTGATAAATGTGGTAATGATATTGAAGTGTAAATGCATATTGATTGTATGCGATATTGTGAATGCATGAGAATATATTGTGAATATGTGTG